CACACACACACACACACACACTCACACACACACCTCTCAACAGTGCTACAGAGAAACCGCACAGACTGACAATCGATCCAAATGTCAATGGCAATCTTACAGAGCGTCGCTTCTAAAGATCTCCCACCTCATATGGTCCAGAGCTTCCACAACCTCTTTCTCTTAATGTAAGACAACTTAATGTGTCAGAGCATGAGGGCTAGTGTTTGATGGAAATACTGCAACCTTTGGACTTTCTAGCAGTATCCGTTTCTTCCAAGTTTGCTTCAGTCGTCATATATGTCATGTGTCGCTTCATAATCATGCAGCCACTTAATAACATATGTATTAATTCTATGTACAGGTGTGTTCAGTGGCGCTCAGCTAGGCCCAGGTGATCTGGTACAGCACCGTTTGCGCTGTGAGGAGGTGGATGCAGCACTGGGAATTCTGGGTAATATGGACTGGGCCATGATGGGAGCAGAGTGTTACAGGTCACTCATCTCCATCACAGATCACCTGCTGAGAAAACCACTGGACCAGCAAACTGAAGGTAAAGACTCCAGACCTGTAGGCTTTGATTTCTGAATGGAGACTAAACCTAAACTTAATTAGTGTCAGAGAAAGTGCCAAACAAACTCAGCTTGGAATCAAAAAGGTCTTTACCATTTCAAATAACAGTATTTAAATATCTTTCAGTGCTCTGGTGCTGAGAGCAATAGTTAATGGGACCATGGAGCACAATGTAGTCCAAATGCAAAACGGACCAAGTTTGCAAGTTCCAACCTCTCGGTGCTATTTGATTTTAAACAGTGAGTTTGGACTTGGAGGAGGTAATTATTCATAGAGCAAAAGCATATCCATTATCTAGAGCTTCACTCGAGTCCTGAATGTACGTCACAAGCCACGCACAGGGAGAGGCCACATGGAGCACAATAAAACAATGTTTTTATTCATTGAAAATGTACACACAGTGGCTCCAAAAAGAATTTAAACCACTTAAAAAATATCAACAAAATATCAAATCAAGTGGCATTGTCTTAAATACGATTTTGAGTAGCATACAAACTTTAAAAGTACAAATTCTCACAAAAATAAGTTTGAAATGAGTAAACTATATATGTGACCCTGGACCACAAAAGCAGTCTTAAGTTGCTG